TTTTTTTTTTTTTTTTTCTTTTGTTTTTCTTTTGTTCCAAATTTCAGGTTAAGCCTAGAACATCTGTCATCAAATCTGTGAATCCCAGGCTTCTGGCACTGACAAAGGAAAAAAATCTCAGTGAGGTAATGATTATTTCTGTAGTGTGATATACCTAGGTACAAGGTTCAAAATCACTTGGAGAATGTTACTCGGGAAATRCAGCCGTTTTAAGCATATGGATACGTGACTCTGTAACCCCAAGGTTGATGTTTTTACAAAACGGGCACTCAGTGCAGCTGGACAGAAGCAGGATCGTCAGCACTGCAGCTGTCCATTTAGTCTCTCTCACCCAGATCACTATGAGACTTCATGTTACCTGGATTCAGGATGGCCTGGGCTTGTTCTCTCCTTTCAGGATATAGGAGAGAAGGGCTGCCTCTTGTGAGGTAATATCCTAGTGTTCTGAGTAAGTAAGCACACTATATGTCCTGTATTAAAGCATTAGTTTAAATAAGCTGATGGAAAGACAGTTCCTCACATCTTTTTCTATGTGTCAGCGTAGATCCCTAAAAACTATATATTGCCAGTGGATTTATTTTCTTTCACAGACTTCCCAGGGTTTTCTGCTTCAGCTGTGTCTTGTACCAGGTTTATAATGGTACAGGAATAGGTATGGTGGTATAGAATAAGTGTCTATGCTGTCTATGCTTAGGTTTATATTTGAGTAACTAATTTCAACAAAGTTCCTCCCAGTGGAGTGAGGATGCAGATGGACAATAAAATTCGCCCATGTTCACCCTTATTATTACCTACTACATAGTCCCCAAATCCAATGGTGCTGAGGGTGATAAAGGTGAAATAAAAGCCTTCTCCATAGCTCCAGCCTTCTACATAACTGAAGACCAGTGGTGGGAACACTAGAAAAAGCAAGGTCCCAGTGGTCAGGAAGATGGCCATTGCCAGCGTCTGAAAGACCTGCAAGAGAAAAGGAAGATAGCAGCTCAGCAGCAYAGAACATGGGTCCACTGGAAACTGCTGGTTTTGCTTTGCCTTGGATCACAAACCTACTACTGCTGGGAGCAACAAACAAGAAAGCAAAAATAAACTGATGCTTCCAGGCCCAGCATGCTGACCCTCTGGTTAGGCTGCACATAGGTACTGGAGCTCATCAAGAGCTTCCTCCGCAGAAGAAATCTTAAAATTAGTGAAAAATGTGGTTTTATTTTTTATGCTATAAGCTATCCATTTTTAAAGTATGTTCAAGCTATATTTCCAAATTTACTATAGCAATCACAAGAACTAAATGCTAACTTTACATTTTCATTTCAAACTAAGGTGCTCGTACAATCACTTGACTCTAAGAACACAGTCCTTCAGGAAACATGGCAAATATTGCATAAAAGATTGGCAAGAGCAGTCTTGCCAATCAAATGCCTAATCAATTAGGATTCTCTTCACCATTGCTGCTTCCAAAGATTTATTAAGTGGCTTGCAAGAGCTCAGACAAAAATATATTTGAATAAAATTTAAATGAAGTTGTTTTGCCTGCTTTTATTTTGAATTTAGAAACATTCAGAGCAGAGCTTTTTCCATTTTTTTTTTTCTGTCAGCACAAGGTAGATCTGTTTCTTTCAGTACAAAGTCTGCCTTTTGGGAGATGTTTAGAGCAGCTAAGTTATAGCACATGTGGCTGCATTAGTTAGTACACAGAGCAGTCAATGGGTCATGACGGGAATGGCCTCACAGTGTGACCTAACGATTGAGGATCAGGAACTCAAAGGTTCCCAGGGAACTCGCCCAGGACTAGCTAACTTTTGACTAGTGATGTGTGGTCTGACACAAGCTCATTGCAATCATTTAAAAATGTCCTCATCGGYATTTGAACTAAAGTATGATGTGTGCTATGAATGCACTTACTGTAACTTGATGAAAAATCAAATCACTTGGTTTATGAAATGAGAAGTCCACGTAATATTTGTTTTTCTTTCCCTCTCTACATTATGTCCTACATAAAAATGGTTCAGTGAGTTGAATTTGAGAAACTTGCTGTGAGCTTACTGGGTGACTTTGACAAATCACTTCTATGCTATATACCTTGTCKCTCCAGCTGTATAATAATATGAACTTCATTTGCAAATCATTTTGAGAGTTATTGAATGACACGCTAGAGTTGATTTCTGTTCTCATTTAGTTCATTGAATAAGTGTAATACTATTTAATTAGATAGTAAAGCTTGCATAAAACTTTATATTACAATGCTCAATATTACCTTTTAAGAACTTAATGCTTAAGAACTTAAGATCTTAAGCATTTAAGAAATTTCTGGTAAAAAACACATACGGTAGAGGAAAGTGTAAGTCAGGAAAAATCAATTGTAATTAATCACTGAAAGTGTTATTGAATTGCCTTTGAAAGGAGATGAACCGATTTCCTGGGAGAGCCTTTCCAGGGTGAGCAAGCAGTTAAGGTTCCCAAACTCCACCTAATCTYGGAAATTCTGCCAGAAAAGAGGTATTAATTCAGGTGTGAAATAATATTCACATTCCTAAAGTACCATTGCAAATCTCAAGAAAGATGCAGCTGTATGAGCACAAAGTCTAGAGCTGCTGGTRTGTAGGGAATGGATATGGGTTATGCAGCAAAACAACTTGTTATTCATATGAACTGAGTCTGCATTTGATAATAACTCTTATAGCTTTGCCAGCAAATCTTTAGCAGTGTAGATAAAGAATACAGAGATTCAGAGACTTCACAAGTGTGAAAGAGAAAAAAGTATATCCCAAAGTACTTTGGGATGTTTAGACATGACATTCAGGATAGTTACCACAAACATATCCGATATTCCCTTTCCTTAAAGCAATGGGTAATTCACGGAATCTTTACTCAGAAATGTCTACTAACTTTATAAGTCACATTTAAGCATTTTATACAATCATTGTTTCCCTTATTCCAATATATCTGGATTATCTCTGTGACTCAGCAATAAACTATAACTAAGGAGAAGGCTTTTTTATTTACAATTCAATATAGGAAAAGGAAGGAAGTGGTAAATTGCTGACACAATCTGGGAAAGTAATTCAGGCCAGGTTAATAAGGCCAATAAAWATAAGTTGCCTTTGCACAGTGTTGAGTTAGATTCTGAGCTAGATAGTGCTGTAGATGAGATAATATGAGCTTGATTCAGCAAAGTGTATTTGTGTGTGTATTCCACTAAGGTCAGYAAAGCTCAAAGACCCTGCTTAAAATTGAGACTCTGCTTAACAGTTTTGTTGAATYGAGGTCTAAAAAGGCAAATCTGGTGTTCCTCAGGCAAAAGGAAATTGCTTTAAAGCCATCATGTTTAAATACATTATTTTTTGGATAGAGAGGGTCATGCGGTTGCTGTGAGTTGGAGAAYTGGGTGCCCACAGTGACACTCAGCCTAACAGCAGCTCTCCCTATCTGAGAAAACAGCTTTCCTCAGTTTTAAAGCAATGGAAATTAATTGGCACTGTACCTGAACACGGCCTGACTTGTGCACCCATCTTTCCAGTGTAATCAGATGAGCATTGAGTCCTTTCCCCAGCTGATTAAGGAAGGCCAGGTTGAGCGGCACTCCAAACAAGGCATAAAACACACAAAACACCTGCCCTGCCACTGTGCTGGGGGCTAGGTTTCCATAACCTGGAAGAAAATAAGGAAAACCAGCTACCCGAAAAGGCTTTACAGTCAGTCTTCAGGCTATCATGGGAACTTTCAAGGCTTCATAGAACCACTGAATCATTACACTTAGAAAAGACCTTCAGGATGATCAAGTCCAACCATAAACCCATCACTACCATGTCTACTAAACCATGTCCTAAGTGCCTCATTTACACCTTTCTGGAACATGCATCTCAATCTTCAACAGCTCCCTGATTTTGTGGGCAGTGCAACTGAGTGCTTCAAAGTAACCTGAAGATGTTATGTGCATGTACAAAATCATATTCCCTGTTCCAAGTAGGCACGTGGCTTCTTTTGCAAGTGCAATACACCATGAAATAACAGTAACAGGTAACTGATGGCAAAATGCAATGCACAGTAGTCAGGCTCTCCTTGCAAGGCTATTCTGTCCAACAATGGTACATTTTTGCAGCTTTGTCAGGCAGCTGGAGGAACCCTCAATTCTTAAGGAGAAAAAGAGTACCTTACCTATAGTAGTAACAACAGTTCCTGCAAAGAAGAAGGAGTTGCCAAAGTCCCAGTTACTGGGATTGGTAGAATTTCCTTCCGGGTTGACCCCTTTTTCCCATGCTTCCATGAGCACCTGAAGCAGAAGAGGCCAGAGGAGTAAAGAYGAGCAACCCATTAGATCAAGTCAGAAGCAATAGCAGAAAAGACCAAGAAGTAAATATTGCTTTTGACCTTAAGCAAGCATTGCCATACACAGTGAWGACAACAGGACAGACTTGGTCTAGGAGGACCTTGGAGAGGTCTTGTGCTGGCAYGGTAAAGTTCGATGAAATAGAGCTAACTGGGAAATTCAACACTCTGACCTGGACTATTAAGGTAGGATCTATTCCATTATTAGTTGAAGGTTGAAGGGAGGGGCTTAGAAGGAGTGCCCCAAAATGANAAAAAAAAAAAAAAAAAAAAAAAAAAAAAAAAAAAAAAAAAAAAAAAAAAAAAAAAAAAAAAAAAAAAAAAAAAAAAGAGCAGTTCCTCTTCTCTCTTTCCCTACCTGTAACTATGTAACTATCTCATTCCAATTTCATTCCAATTCTAAATTTGGGCATGTGTAAGTGTATATTTGTGCTTGGGGGAAGGATATTGGGAACATGCCTACTTCTAATCCCTCCATGTAAGCACAAGTGTGCATGAGTTACAGTTTTTTTAGCTATGGTTTCTCAGCGTTGCCAGTCAATACCAGGCTTCTAGTCTCAAATACTAACTAAAGAAATATTTTCTGCTGCGCCACAGAGCTCTTACCAGAGGACCAGAACTATTGTGTGGAGGTACCGCTCCTGTTTATATATTAAATATCCCGTCAGCCACCTTAATGTTGACTGTGTTCCCAGCCTTTTAAGAGGATTTTTCTGAAGGAGAACTGGGTGCCTTCTGCTCATAGTCTGGATGTGGTCTGGAGAATGTCCTTGCTTGATACATATCTACTTTGAAGTCTGGCTCACCTTTACAGAATGGCTGAATGAATACTTGTAAATTCATAGTCCTTGTCTTCCAGGTAGTCTTGTATGATGCAAGTTTATTAACTAATGTTTCCCCTTAATTAACAATTCCTCCCGAATTGGTTAAGTCCATCAGACACTTGTCTGATGCTGGGCATCTTGTCACATGTGATCTCACGATAAAAGTGCTAACAGATTTTCTTATTAATAGTAGAAAGAGCTGTATACTGTTCATTAAAAGCCYATTCTCAAAATGGGAAGAATTTAACACCTCAGATTCTCAAAGATGACTATTTTATTTGGTGGTTAGAAGTAACACTCAGAAGCTATTATGGTATGAGTCATTTGAAATGTCTGAAACAATCTCAGGTTCAATTCACCCATGTAAGGAACATTTCTTGGTTCTCTCCGTTTCAATCCACCCAGGCTCTGAGATGCTACATCTACATCATGAAAGCCAGAAGGGAAGAATAAGGCAGTGTTAAATGTGGAACGCTTCAAACATTTTGACAGAAGAGATTTCTTTTAAGCACAACATCAGGGAAGAGGTGGCAGGCTGGGGCGCAGGAGAATAATTCCTGAAAAACCTCTTGCTTGGGACACAGATCAGTATAAAGGTCTACCACCTTTCTGTCTACAACTCAGATTGGAGTTAGGGCTGGAGTGCTAACAGAATACCTGGTGAATGGTTGCTGGACATTTGCAGTTGTCTTTGAGACCAGAAGTAAAAACAATCTGCTATGATCTACAGTAAAAGTGTGAGCTCTAAAGCATGTAGCATAAAGCTATAAGAGAATGTGAGGAGAAGAACAGCTGCCTGTCATTCCCGCATCTGTCACTGCAGCCTCTTGTGGTAATAGACAAGCATTTGGCCTTCTCAGCCAGTATGTATATAAATTGTTTTAGGTCTGAAAAAAATGTATGGCCAAGATCAAAATAGCTAATTTAAAAACACACCTCTTAAATAATCAATTCAGATCATGAGCAAAGAAAGAAAATAATTTGCTTCAGGCAATATCAAGTCAAAGGTTAATAAATTATAAATGATCTATAAATCCCCTATTATTACTAATTAAAGATAAGTAAAATTAAGCCATAATTGATTCTCAGATTCTAGGATTCAGGTCTAAAGCACCAGCAGTAAGAAAAGATATTGTATCCCTGTCAGCTGAGCAAACTGAGTGTGGTGGTGTTTTCTCACCATAGCACAAATACTGTTGCTTTTCTCACTGCAACTCATAGGATGCTGATCAAGCTTCTCTGATATAGTAAAAACCTACAGAGACAATTTCTTCACAACACTAGTTTTAGAATTAAGAGCTTTAATCTTGAAAGAATTCTATTCGTWATTACTAGAAGAGCTGGACAAATTTCTTAAGAGGCATTAAAAATGACAGAGGAGTTGCAGTGTTTACATTCACTGCTCCCTTGAGGATTAACTGTAATTACTTTGAAGTTTGGTGCATGGTGGTTGATGATTTGGTGCCCTCCAATGGTTTTGTCTGGAACAGCTAAAAGTGAAATAATTTATATAATTCAGCTGAAACTCAGCAAAATGCAATTGTCTGAGTAGCCCTACTGCACTAATAAACACTAGCGCAAGAGGAAGGAGAATTTGGTATCATGTGACTTTTCACACCTTAGGTTTCTAATGTACCAGAGATTTAACTAAACCCTTTATTCCTATGAAGTATCCCAGTCTCATTTAGTATGAGAATTAGAATTCTCTACCGTCTTACCACAAAGACAATGGAATGACAGGTAATATCACCAACTGGTGTATTCGAGAAACACAAGCACATTTTGGTGTACTTAAATTCTTGAAAACTTTAGATGTCTTCTGGATAACGACAAAAGTTTCCCCAAGTCATGTATCACAGGATTAGACATCAGAACACTGTACTTGTAGAAAAAGGTTCAGACACTTTCTGTTCTCTTTATGATTTGGACTTTATTGTTTGCTTAACACCCATTATATAATCTAGGCTCTTTGCTGATCAAAAGAATATACCTTGGCAGAAGTCCTCTGACTGAGAACCAGCATCCTATGTGGGGKAGTTTAATGACCTGACAGAAACAGGTGCATTTACACCCCAGCTCTGTGGCTGGAGAATTTTTGAGCATAAAGAAAGTGGTAATTCAAGGATTTCTGTCTAATTCTTGTAATCCTAGAATGATAGGATATATCTAAAATAATACCATGGTGGGGTTTACAAATCATCTCCAGATTTTTTTCAGGAATAGATTTAAATGCAATTGAAGATGTCATTCATTCTCAAACCATCCTGAACAAGACCTTTTTATCGCTCATTAGAAATGATCAAGAAAAAGACACAGCTCAAGCTGTCTGACTAATCTCCTTCCGAAGAGAGGTCTGGAAGTATAGGACCACTATAGGCTGTTCCTCTTACCTGCACAAACTGCTCCAGGGCTTGTCTGTCCACGCATGTGTGGTTCTGCAGGAATTTGAGCTTCTCCAGCTGGAACTGGTCCCGAGAATGGGCCTCTGCTTGCTTCTCCAGCAGCTGGAACACCATAGCACCCAAGAGGAGGTAAAAGAGATATCCCAGGACCAGCAGCAGAGTCCAGCTGATCTGCTGCCTGTGCAGGGTGAGGAGGGTCATGTTGCTGCTGCTGTGGCTCCGAGGTCCCTGCTCAGTCCTTGCTAAGTTACTGTTCCAAGACACCCTCCAGCCAGGGCACTCAGCAATCACACCTCTATGTTCCTGGCTACTGCCACAGGGATTTTTTTAACGGAACATACAGGCATCAGGCCTGTGCAAAATGAGACAAATTTTATTCCTCTTCTTTATGCCTATTCTTCATCAAACACAAAACAAAACAATAAAAGACTCTATGCAAAATAAGTGGACATCTCTTTTATCCAGAGATCTCAATCACATACATGAAGCTTGACACAAGCCCTCTGAGGTAGGTATCGTTTTCCAGGCTGGGATGCTGATCTAAATGTGGGGTTTAATGACTTACCCAGGGTGACAGAAATGTAGAGCCAGGAACAGACTCTAAATCTTGACTGTTAAGTCTTACTCTAAACACTAGACTTCTGTACAGCAAAACACTATAAATGCTCTAATTACAGTAGACTCCTCAGAACAAAGAGAAGTATGGAGCTGAATAAATGGTATAGTCAATAGCTGTTGTCTGTACCATACAAACATTGGTGGCAACAGTGAGCACAGCATGATGAAGTTCATAAGCATCCTGAAGGCAGCCTGGTTACAAGACAGCTCTCTTTCTTTCCTAGCCCTAATCCGTTCAGTTCCCACACTGCCCAGCCTGCTGGTCCTGAATTCTTTGTCAGATGGTTTCGCACTTGGAAAAATCCTTAGTCCATTGAGTTAGGGAATGAACCACTTGTATTTGTTGCTTTTGCTCTTCATGTTGTCCTTTTATCTGATGCATAAGGGAAAGGAGGACTAAAAGTTAATCGTTAGCTAAACAAGTACCACAGACTCACTCATGGGAGCCTTAATGACTTTCATACACTGAAAATGAGCTGGGGTTGCAAATCTTCCTTTAGGAATAGCCTTATGGCTTCTTCATTAATGGCATCTACTTCAGATTGCTTCTGAAAAAAGTGCACAAACAGCAAGAAAACAGTGTGGTTTGGGCTGTGATTTTGCTACCGAATTCTCTGTATTAGAAAGTTCAAGATACAGATATCCTTCTTTTACCGAATATTCAAGATTGTTTTTCTCTTGTTTTCAAATGAAAAACTGTTTTTATTCATATCCATTTAGGGGAAAACTGTATGCCTGCCATCCTTGCCTGGGGCCAGACATCCCCACCCAGAAGAAGACAGGTAGTAGGAGACCAGTTTTCACTCTGTAAAGTGACATATATTACGGAGAACACCCAGTAGATCATCCTGGTCTTTGGGACTGCTCTGTTGCTGCATCTCAGAGATAGGAAGGGATTAGTAGAGAAATGCAACATGCAAGACTCGGGTTAAAGTTTTGGTGCTCTATTGATTCTTTTAGCTGAAGTGAAACCTAGCTAGAACCTGTAGTGGAATTGATAATATTGACCTGCAGCAACAGCATTATGAAGCAAACTGTTCTGAAGCAACTGAGATGTCAAAACTACTCATCACTGACGGCAGATCTTCTGGTGGCCTGTGGCAAGGGCACCAATTGCTTTGAGAGACTCTAGCAAGAGATTACTAGAATCACCTGCTTCTGACATCCATAACTGAAAGTTACAACCTGTTCCATACTCTGTGAAATGGGATGGGTAGATGGGCCTGGGATGTCTGCACAATTTCCTGTCACACTGCTTGTCACAGATGAGACATCTAGACATTTCTTGTTTTGTAGTTATGGGACCTACTGCTACCAGTCCAGGAGAGTRTCAGCCTACTGATTTTCTGGAACAAATGTAGACACATTCAGATAGCATCTGATGGGCTGAAACAGATTCCTCCCAGTTGTAAAAGGTAACATGATTAAAGAAAACAAACCAATACCTAAATTATTAATAATCAAATACATCAGTGAATGTTTTCAGGTTCCCCTCTGTTCTGTTCAACAAAGCATTCCACCTGCCAAACATGGAAGTTTAAATGATCATTCCTTAAAAAAAATGCTTGGGCTTAATTGTAGGATCTTAATATTCTTAGAGTTTTGCGACCTGAGTGACTAAACCTGTCAATATGTGCTTGCTGCTCTACTTTAGACATTCCACTTAAAGACAACACTTTAGAGGAGAATCCTATTTGGCTGGCCAAGGGTGATTCCTAGTCACCTGTCACAGGAGGTGTTATCATCTTTACCATTATTTGAAAAGCATTTCAGAAAAACAGTCAACAAAAATCAATCAATGAGAAATAAAACATAACAGCTGGAGGAACCCGCCAGGGACACACAATATAAGATAAGATGTGTTCTTCAGCTGRTGTAGTAAGCAGTGGTTTCTGCAGAAAGTAGCAAAAAAATATTGTATGTGCAAGTGAAAATACAGAGTAGATCTGCAGCTAGGGATGAACTGCTCTCCAGCTGAATGCTCTTACAGATAAAGGTATGGGCAAGATTATGAAGTGCACATTTAAGAAAGTATTTTCACAAACATGCATGATKCCAAACAGCTAACTAGAACAGCGTCAGTGTGCTCCCAAGATGTTAAACAATAGTCAGTAAGGGCGGATACTGATATACTTACTGTCATGGAAAAGCTACAGAAATACATAGCAATAGATTTCAGATTATAAAAATTATCAATATTCTGTTTGCAAAGTCTTCTTTTTGCCCTAGCTTTACATTACAATACAGGAAATAAACAAAACAAGATTCTTCTTTACAGAAGACTTGAATTTATGTCTTTCCACAAGTTAAAAAAAAAAAAAAAAAGCTCAAATCTATGTATCTGAATTAAACTGCAGACTTATGATTTCCAGGTGAGCTCTGAACCTGGCAGAGTGAACTCAGCAGGCATTACCACATAGGAAATGAAGTTTGGCTTCCAAGTAAAAAGACATAAATATAATATGCCAAAATAACAATACCAGCAGATCACAATTGATGATAGCATGACAAAGCACAATGTATAATCTAAATTGTTTTGGTATTCCTTTAACCATTTTCTGAATAAAAATATAAACAAAACCTAAGTGGGAAAACATTGTGAATAAAACATTGTGAAAGCAAAATCACTCTTTAAAACAGCTGAGCTTGGAACTCAACACAAAGGTGTTACAGTTCCAGTGCTTCCTGCCAACCTTGAACGCAAGATTGCCTTTAGTCTCAAACTAATTAAGTCATTCTCAAAAAAATGTATTTGAATCCAGATATGACCAGGATTTCCTTGATTATTGTTTCAGTCATCAATTCTTCCTTCCCTCATGCTGACGTATTATTTGATTGACCCACTGCAGCCCAGAAAATCCACAGAGAATCTGAGGCATTCTGGAAAGGATGGATATCAATAGGACACCCTATTCCACCRTATTATCTGGAGCAAATGAATGGATTCAGTGTTCTCCAATTGCTCAACCTGTTGTCTTTACTGTCCCTGACAATTCTTAAAAATGCACAGATACTAAATAAAGGATAGGCCTAAAATAACCAGCATGGTTTCTTACTCTGTGACTGTAAATTATTCTGCTGCTGATTATAGTGGTATTTTTTTCTGGCTTTGGAATACAAAGAAGCTATTTCTAAAATAAGCAAAGAAATGTTTGAAAGATACCTTGGCTGATCCCATTTTACTCAAGTAACTGATGAAAAACAAATTCTAGGACTAGTTTTCTGGAAAAAAAATCTTTGAATAGAATGAGATGACAGCAWGAATGTAGAGGCCCAGTCCTCCACAGGATTGAGCCTAAAGTGAGCCTGAACAACCTGTACATGGAAGCAAGGTATGCAATTARTTGTTTTCTACTTGTCTGGCACCACAGATTACTTTTAAACTCTACATTTCACAGAAGAATTAAGGAAATTTCTTAGAAGTATGATAAACATAAATAAAAGTAACTTATTCAAGTAATTTATTCAAGCTTGACACTGCCACCTGGCAATTTTCTACTGTTGATTTTGTTCTCACTCCAAATTTAAACCAATAATATGACTTGCTGATTTACACTCACATAGATAAAGGTTAAAAGAGTCTCAAGTTTTAATGGCATTTTCCTTAGACAGTTTCCATAAAAAAGCTGTTATTTCTTGACTTCTATACTGAATTGAGGTTGTACATTGCTGTTTTGATTTTTTTATCAACATAAATACATTTGTACAAACTGCTCTTGATGCAAAACATAAGTATTTAGCTTACTGTTTGTGAAACATTTGAGCTGCTAAAAAACATGAAGAGAAGGCAATCTTTATAAAATGTCATGTCATGACCCCTGACAGCAAGGAAAAACAAAGTTTCATTAACATTTTCCAATTTTATTGTGCTGGTATTAACTCAATGCACCAGTAATAACAATTATTATTTTCTAGTTTATATTTCTTGCCCTATTGTTGAAAATTCAAAGCAAACATTACAAGAAATGAAACAAAAAACATCAGAAGAGGTTCATCTAATATTGATTTAAAGCACAATAAAAGTGATTAATAGGAAATCATCTAAAAATAGAAGTTAAATTGTTGTGGTTATTTAAAAATGAACTTTGAAAAGACAAATAAATTACATAGCGAGCTAGTAAGCATRCTACAGCTATCAAGCCATTCCCAGATTTTCTTTTTGTTGACACCTGTATTCACAAGTTGGATAGTTGGTACAACTGGCACTTACAAGAGCTTAACACTCTTCTCTTGACATGTCCTCAGTATATACTATTGATATGGACACTCACATTTTATGATTGAGTAAACCAGGCAAGAAAAATGAAATCTCTTATTTGGGAAGATATTACAAAATATACTTACATTGCTACATGTGGCAAAGTCATTATTCCACTTTAAACCTGTTCCATAAAAATCACGGGACGGAAATCAGGACACTGAACTAGTACAGCATCCACTTCCCAAGCAAGAGAAATTCAACATAAGGTTGTGCCATAGGAAGGACTAGAAATACTTGAACTGAGAGATGAAATGACCTGTAATGGCTGACACAGATTAATCCTGGAAATATCTGTATGTAGCATCTACTGCTAGAGCTACCG